ATTGATTTTGTAGGATGATTGTTTCTATTTTTCACGCACATGGTTAGCATTTTGAAGAGTTCCTCTAGTAAATATCGACTTTTAGGCGTTTATATGATTAATGGGTATTATGCAATAAACACCCTGTAGACGGAAGAAAGTCAGTTTGAGACATGGCATTGTACTGGGGCTGTTAGGTCCTGACAGCAGTCGTATTGTGAAGGTTTGCGAGTACTCGCACAGTTAACCTTTGTTTCGGAGTTTTAATCTGCAAGGGGGTGGATCTGATCGTGATTACTACGTATTAGAACAGGACACGACACGACAACGGCAATAATCACAGTCCGGGATATAACGACGACGACGACGACGACGAGGACCCACATCTCTCACACGGCATTATCCTAGCAAGCTTCGCTATTCATTCATTGCAAGCACTCGGGACAATGTCCCGATTGCCTGTTCTAATTTTTGTCGTTGGTGCCCAATTACCTACCACTGGGGTGGCACAGACGAACGAACAGTTTGCACTGTTGGGAAATTGAAAAGGCAGACGCTGCAATTTTTAAAAGAGATATAAAAAAGTAAATAAAGATCCCAAAAAGAAAATGACGAATTTGATGACTGAAGTAATCATTACACAGATACAGACTTGACGGAGAAATCGATGGCAGTATGAATCTGAATCTAAATTGTTTTCATATTAATTGATCTCAACTGATGAGGCATAAATTTTAGTGATTAAGATGAGAGAAACGGTGAAGCTGACTGCATATTGGTCTTTCGTGAGATGTCCTAACATGCCCAAGTTTTTGAATAGACTAACAAACTGAAGAGCATACTGGTTGGTGAAATATGTAAAACCATGGTAGAATGTTTTAGAAAGTTAACGAACATTCCAGAAATTTTGGAACATTTCTGAATGCTCCTATGACAATTGCGTGTCGAAAGCTAGAAGATACGGGTGTGGCGGACAATTGTATATATTTTTTGTAAATATTTCTTAAGCATTGTTTTTCATTATTCCAAATTCATTTCATTTCAAATAATATTTCAGTTTATTTCAATTTCTTATCTTGTAAATACTTTGGTTTCCTTTCAATCTAAACTCTATTGTTCTCTCAATCACTTTTACCCAGAATTCCAACTTCAACCATACCTGCATGCACTCCCATACTAATATCTGGTTTTACCCTTAATTGCTTTCTCTTGAACTCTATACTGCTTAATTCTACGTATTCCTACAAACTAGTGTCTTCACCCTCTCTCTCACTACTTTTCCTTCTAGAACCTTCTATCAAATCTATTAACAACCCTGTCCTATAAATACTCTCAAAAATTCTTATCTTTACACAGTCTCCCGTCTACTTCTACTACCGTTCGTAAGTGCTTATATTATTCTCTACATTGTTTTCATTTTTGTTGTTGTCTTTGTTATTGTTGTTGTTGTATTATCTTGTTTTTTTTTGTCACATTGTTCTCGTTTGTTTGTTTCACTCCTTGTGCCTTTTTGTTACTTGTGTTTTCGTTTTGTTCTTGTTGTATATAAACTGTTATTCGTTATTGTTAATGATTTCTTGGTATTTAAATAATATACACCAAAAGACACTAAACGGGGGTTGAAAGTGGTTGACTGAGGCACCTAGGATAATTTCATATTTCGAGAAAAGTATTCTCAAAGTTTTGACACTATATTCGGGCAGTTTATTTATATATCTCGACCAATGTATCCATCGTTTATTATTTTTTTTATTATTATAAGTTTTTTCATTTTACCGAGATTTTTTTCTTCGTCGAGCTCTCTAAAATAGATTTAATTGTAAGTTTATACATGTGTTAGATTTGTTTCTTCTTATTTGTGAAATTTGTTTGGTCTTAAGTAAGATTGTGTTATTGGGCTGTTTTGTAGTGAATAATACTTTAAATTGCAATCGTTTTACTGTTGTTCGACCTGATGCGTTTGGTTTCAGTCGTCTTAAATCAGAAACTATACTTGTTGGTTCGTTGCAAATGTAAAAGATTTCATTGAAACGACGACATAATTGGGCAAGGGGATCGTTATTATAAGTTTTTTCATTTTACCGAAATTTTTTTCTTCGTCGAGCTCTCTAAAATAGATTTAATTGTAAGTTTATACATGTGTTAGATTTGTTTCTTCTTATTTGTGAAATTTGTTTGGTCTTAAGTAAGATTGTGTTATTGGGCTGTTTTGTAGTGAATAATACTTTAAATTGCAATCGTTTTACTGTTGTTCGACCTGATGCGTTTGGTTTCAGTCGTCTTAAATCAGAAACTATACTTGTTGGTTCGTTGCAAATGTAAAAGATTTCATTGAAACGACGACATAATTGGGCAAGGGGATCGTTATTATAAGTTTTTTCATTTTACCGAAATTTTTTTCTTCGTCGAGCTCTCTAAAATAGATTTAATTGTAAGTTTATACATGTGTTAGATTTGTTTCTTCTTATTTGTGAAATTTGTTTGGTCTTAAGTAAGATTGTGTTATTGGGCTGTTTTGTAGTGAATAATACTTTAAATTGCAATCGTTTTACTGTTGTTCGACCTGATGCGTTTGGTTTCAGTCGTCTTAAATCAGAAACTATACTTGTTGGTTCGTTGCAAATGTAAAAGATTTCATTGAAACGACGACATAATTGGGCAAGGGGATCGTTATTATAAGTTTTTTCATTTTACCGAAATTTTTTTCTTCGTCGAGCTCTCTAAAATAGATTTAATTGTAAGTTTATACATGTGTTAGATTTGTTTCTTCTTATTTGTGAAATTTGTTTGGTCTTAAGTAAGATTGTGTTATTGGGCTGTTTTGTAGTGAATAATACTTTAAATTGCAATCGTTTTACTGTTGTTCGACCTGATGCGTTTGGTTTCAGTCGTCTTAAATCAGAAACTATACTTGTTGGTTCGTTGCAAATGTAAAAGATTTCATTGAAACGACGACATAATTGGGCAAGGGGATCNAACGAGAGACTCGAATCTCTCAATAAGTGGTGTCTCAATAGACATGGTTAAAATTTTCTAAGTTCAACATATTTTAGAGATTCCAGTCTTTCTACGAGAGACTCGTGTCTCTCAATTTTTCAGTTTTATTCATTCAGTCTCTCTGTGAGAGACTAAAATCTCTGAATTAACAATTTTATCTTTCGAGTCCCTCATACAGAGACTGTGAAAGATCCATAAAAACACCTAGACAATAACTGAGAGACTGTGAAAAACTGTGAGAGACGCTAAAAGAAATTTTTGTCTAGGGGAAATATAGAACTTTTGACAAATATTCGATTATCCGTAACTTAAAAAAAAACCTTTGGGTGTTTCATTCCCACCAGCTGGTAATGAGAAAGAAGAGACAGACGAAATGAAGACAGAAGGGAATGAAAGATTATGTGTTCAATACTAAAGTCCCAGCATTTACCTAAGTGATCCAAGGAAACCACAGAAAAACTTTGACCCAGACAGACGAACCAGGAATCGAACCGGCGTCCTCCCGAATTCTAAACAATGATCTAAACCTCTAGGTCATGTCGCCCGGTCGATGCAGTCTCGGTATTATTTTCATGCTGGTGACACCTTTAATTCTCTTTAATCCTTTTTAGAACAGACCTTTTCAAAATCCTGTAGGAATAATTTACTCGCTAAAATTTACATTATTGTAAGTTGAGTAGTTCGAAGTTTAAAGTTTGTAAATAATCATTTGTATTAGATGTTTAGTTAACAGATATCGATTATCTTCTTTACCTTTTAAAGTCAGCTGTACTTGTGGCAAAAATTATTTTTTGAAGGTTGAGTTTTGTTCAGTTTTTCGGCCAAGGAGAGAACTTCGACTACAGCACGAGAGCATAATAGACATACAGCCCTCCTGCTTACTTACGTTACCTCTGGAACGAATTCGAAGCATCCCCTACATGCTCTTAACGCTAAGTGCTCGTGTTAATCTACTCCCCAGGGCGAGGGAGTTCGCTCGGAATCTTCTGTTATTCTATCATTTTCAGTCTCCGGCCTATAAAATACAGGCAGGCGAACTCTTTTTCTCTCTTATGCAAGTTTGCTTTTCGGAAAATATCGCTGGGGATTTCGATAACAAATTTAAAATCGTACTAGTTTCATTAGATATTAATAAAAAAAAAAGGAACTAATACCTACAGCAATTACACGAAGAAAATTGAAACGACATGACGCTCAAAAAGTCTAGAAATAACAATTGAATCGTACAAATTTAAGTGTCTAAAGAGTATAAGTATTCACGATTTGGAAAATTTCTTATTAAAATCCTTGATTACCTCTAAAGCGTAATAACAAAATGTGTTAAAAAATGCTCTAAGAATTTTGTGGCATTACCAACTAGGATCGATACATTTTGTTGAACACTATCAAAAAGAAACTTTCAAATTATGTTTGTCAAATAATAATTCCAGACAGAATTAGAAACTAATGCCCAAGATTTGTAGTGATGCCTTAATTTTATTCCATAATTTATTTAGTTGCGTAGTTAGATAATCAATATTTTTTGGGTACCTACTCTAGCATCCGTTACTTTTATTATGTAAATAACTATAATGGTAAAAATAGTGACAAAAATAAGATGACATGTGTTTTTCCGGGACGGGGGCCCCTTGAGCGCTTGGGGCCCCAGTACACCGCACCCCCTAGGCACCTGTTTTTATTATTTACTCTTATTATTTATCAATATTTTTAGATAATGTAAAATAATAAAAATAAAACTTACCTTACTTTCTCGGCGACTTTCCACTCATACTTTTACTGCACTCTGAGGGTTGTACAACGTAAAGTACACTTGATATGTTACTATTATAAAAGAATTATAAGAAATTGTAAAATTATTAGAAGCCTTGTTTAGCCATGATCGTAAAATTGAAATAAAATCCCATAGCATTTTGTAGAAAAAAATTTATTCGACATAAAATATGATTTTTAATCATTACATTTAACAAAAAATTTAAAATACACGTAAAATATGAATTTTAATCATTACATTAAATAACATCACAATCGATTAAAGTAATTAAAGCGCAAATTATTGATTACCTCGAAAATTTAATTATGACTAAGCATATTTAATTAACCATGTATTTTTTTATTTCATTGCATTATAAACGAAAAACATTGCAGATAGACATACATAATAGCATTAATTAAATTAATAGTTCGTTAGATACTTAATTAAAAATCAAAGGGTTGCAATACCTATTGTTTAAACCCACCAAGAAAAGGGTAAATTGTTTGTGTTAAATCCAGACCAAATTAATCTCATCCATCATCTGGATTATAAGGACAAATTCTGAGATATTTCCGAAACATTTTATACGTGTTAGAGGTATTCTAAAATACCAATTGATTTGGAACACTAAATATAAAAGGAACCCAATACATCTCCTATATGTTATTATGTCTTGATATTTCTTTAATAAATTTTAAATTACCAAAAGTGTACCGTGAAGGGTTAGAATCACTAATCTAGAAAATACTCTGGTTGACCCTTGGTATTACTATAGTGATTAATCTGGTCCTGGTTAATTTCAAAGGTTAATGTTTTAGTACACATTATAGATACATTACGAGCCACTGAAGGACAAAATACTGCTTCGGCAAAGGTAACTAACTTTTGGGTATAATTAGAGAAAATAAAAAGCACGTTAGTTTAAATGCGAGCATTAATTGTATTTATATTTTTTGTTTTAAGAAGTTCCGATTTTTACATGCAATAAAATAAGTAATATACATTCGTTAACACAAAGTTAAATCATAATTTTAATAACCTACACGTAATAAATCACATAATAGATCAACTCATGTTCTAAGTACGTTTTCACGATTTTAAAAATCCGTTTCTATCACAATACAATTTTACGCAAACCCTAAACGTAATTTAAACAAACGCTCTACGACAAAAATAATACATTGTAATATTAACTTGTGTGCAACATAAACGTATGCAGTCATTTGTTTATAACTGTTTCGTATATAAATGTCAGATTTTACGGATCTTATTGAACAAGCTTTGGAAAAATAAAAATGTGTTAAAGGCGCCGGAATAGCCCTTTATTATTTGTTAATCGAATCACTTGTTAGAAAGTAATTTCACTAAACGATGTTCCTTACCGTATTCCGATTTTCTGAAGTCTTCGAGAGTCTGGAAGCAATAGGAGGTATGTTATAGGTACAAAAAAAAATCAAATGATCGAATTTTCTGTAATATTTTTTGAAAAGGGAACGATTTTTTGGTCAACTTATAAAATTCCAGGTCTTTTTATTACTTATGTATATTAATTCAGGAACTTAATACGTAATCCGGAAAATATCTCTCAATTATTGGCGAATTCAACACATTTCTAAAGTAATAATCATGACTTTTGCAATGAAACTTACCTCATATGAAAGCTCTTGTTTCAAAATTGCTGTTGTATGTTCGTTGCCGACACAACAAGCTAAAAGAGTAGGATACAAAATTCTGGAGAACTCTTCAACCGAGAAGTACGAAAACGGCAGCGTGCACAGTTGCTGAAGGACAGACGGTGGCTGACCACTAACTAGTAACATCTGAAACAAGAAGAGTCTCAAATATGAAATTCTTCTTTTGAACCATTCTAAAAGCAAATTGAATCATTATCTTCGGTTCAACAAGAGTTTAGAACAGACTTTATTAATATGAAGTAGAGGTTGATAGAACACCTTCTCAGACATGAAGGGCTAGTTAGAGACATATTAGAAGCAGAAACAGGAGTTAAGAAACATACAGGTAGACCTATATTAGATTTTAGGACTGACGACCTTATGAAGATGATGATGACCTCATTTGAGTACCTAATTATTATAAAAACAAAACAAATAATTGAAGAATTTTAATGAAATGAAATTTCAACGCTTTATTAATTGTTTGTTTGGAAATAANGTTACAAGCGAATGTAAGATGATACCCAGGATATAGAGAAGGTTAGAAATTGGGAGGCATTAAAATAAAAGAAGGACAAAGCACTTTATTAATAAGAAATAGAGAAGATAGGTTGGTAGAACACCTTTTCACGCATGAAGGGCTAGTTAGAGACATATGAGAAGCAGTTACAGGAGTTAAGAGGAATACAGGTAGACCTATATTAGATTTTAGGACTGACGACCTTATGAAGATGATGATGACCTCATTTGAGTACCTAATTATTATAAAAACAAAACAAATAATTGAAGAATTTTAATGAAATGAAATTTCAACGCTTTATTAATTGTTTGTTTGGAAATAATTGAAATGCCTTTAGTTTATTACCACTTGAAATCTCCATAGTGGTTTGTGTTTCGATTAATGCAAAGCGAGACAAACGTAAACTGTATCATTTGAAATTGGCGTCGGACATTGCGGGCACTAAGTACAATGTTTCATCGGCTCATAGTCAGATACGACATCTTTAATAGGCCTCTGACTTCGACGCATTGACAGACTTAACGGCCACGGTAATGGAAATGACTATTTGAACCCATCAGTTATGCATTTAAACGATTAAATTGCCAAATGATAGTTGGTATGTATGAACGGCATTAATGCTGTTCGAACAGATGACTGGGGAAACATATATCAACAGTGTGTCACACAGAACTATAGTATCTTTGTCATCTGTTAACCTGTTATGTGTAAACACTTAACACTCACTCCTGAAATATGTGCAGGCTTCGAAACGTAGGACCCCTTAATCCTTGTGCATTTTCACGATATACAGTGGATATCTTTGTATGAAATATAAAAAAAAGCTTCACTACAGCTTAAGAACAGTGATGTATTTCTGGGGCAAGATGCATAACAACTGAATTCTGCTGTACAGATGAGTTTGATAAAAAAAACTAGTCAACAGATTAAACTTGACGGTTCCCTTGTATTGATATATTAAACTCCATTTGTCTTTTATCTCTTTATTATACATAATCATAGCAGCTACGTATATTCCCAACCACGGTTGATGGTTAAGTAGAAAATTAAACACACATAAGTAAACTGGTGCTTTTCTGATTTGGGTCTAAAGGTCATCGTTGGTTGGAGTTAATTCCTAACGTTTCGCTTCCATAAGTGGCGAGCTTCTTCAGAGATCCTTCCATTTCTGATGCTGGATGTGGACCGTGGACTTTGGATTGTCCACATCCAGCATCGGAAGTGGAAGGACTGCCAAAGAAGCTCGCCACTCGCGCTAACGAAACGTTAGGAAGCAACTCGAACCGACGATGACCTTTAGACCCGAATCAGAAGAGCATCAGTTCACCTAATGACCGCGAATGCCGTTACCAATTTGACCTTCATAAATAACATTATGTTACTGTGTATTCTGCACCTAAAAATCTTCCTGCCATGAAAGTCCTCTCCCCCATTGCATGTGATGGTTTTATCACATTTATGCGATTGTTGTATGATATGACATTAATTGCATAGGAATTAAAATCATCATCATCATCGTTCTAATCAGACTGATTGGACATGCACCTCCACTCTTTCCTATCCTGAGAAAATCTGCGCATTTACCTAAACCTAAAACATCCCACCTCTTTAACTATGTGAACAGTAACCAACGTCTATTTCTACTCCTCTTAACTCCTGTATCTGCTTCTAATATGTGTCTGGCTAACCCTTTGTGCCTGGGAAGGTGACCTCATATCGAAGAACATAATCTGATGTATGGAATTTACTTGAAACCCGTTCAGACTTCATCGGCAGACGACAACCCTTAAGGTCATTTGTACCGAACTTATCCCCCTTTTCACATTCGTGTTTTTTTTTAAGATTACCTATTTCTCTACGTCCAAACCGAAATTCCGTGAATTTGTTAACTTGCTATCAACTCCAACTGATGCCTACATTTGGATAATAATAAAATCTGTGTGCGACATTATCAGGTCGCGTCGCAAGAATTTGAGTTATGAAAGACGGTCTTTTGGGTCTGCCGCTGCGCCGCGTCGGCAGCGATGTTGGTCGCTGAGGATGGCGCCCGGTCTATCTTAATTGCCGCAAGAGACGCGACCAACCAGCAGAAGATTCGATGCCTCCTCCTCCTACGATTAGTCAAAAGACACCGCCTCGACGACAACGGCAGACACTTTATAAGATTTCTTTTACATGAATTTCTACCTGTTGACAAACTCACTCTCTTACCGCCCGTATGTGTTGTAAACTACCTACACACGAAATTATATTACGAACACTGACGACGTTTTTAGCATGTTCAAATTTTTTTGACCAACATAGGTACCTATTTTTTACTATAGAAGCGTCTACTACTATTGTCATGTTCCAAGTTATTGTTAGTTTTAATCTTCTGCCTACAAGATGTTGACTATATATTGTAATTATTGTTAAGACGGTGTAAACTAATATTTGTTCAAAGTATCTGTGCTAAAAGTGGCGCCGTTTATGTCAGGACACTAATTTTTTATGAACGTTTAGTTTTTTCCGAACGATTTTAGTCAGTCAATTTATTTACTACCAGCTATGTGGTTGGACCAGACCTGATCGGCACATACCCAGGCTATGAAAAACATCAAAACAAGAAAACACTAATTATGTATTTTATTAATTTTTAGCCCACTGATTTTGTTTAATTAAATAAGTATATAATTGATTCATACCTTTAACGTATGCTACTTCTAAATTTTCACTAATATTATGATAACTGAAATGATAACTTAAGAAATCGTAAAAAACATTAGCAGGAAGGACCTCAAGGATTATCCGCAGCATTCCCACGAAACTATACACTTTGAAGTAATTTATTTTTAATTATTTCACCGTTATATAACTCGGAATCACGAAACAGACGTAAACAATAGTAATTATTATTATAAAGCTAGAATTTACCTTAAATTACATGTTTTTTACGACTTTGGCGTAATGCACCTTGCACCAAACCCTACACGTAGTAGGATGTTACAAATTGATTTCATTTTGCTAATGCATTCGCCACCCGACTCTAAAAGGTACTTATTATCGGCCAGATACAAGCGTTTATTACACCCTCCGATCGTACCTTTTGGATATAATAAAACTCAACCACAATACGATACGATTTTACCAATCACTGTACTTTTTGGATAATAAATACTACAACATGATTAAGAGCCTAACAAATTAAAATAAAACATATTACTTACCTTCACATCTGTAAGAAAGCAGGTACATTACTTACTACCTATAATAACTTTAGTTTTATAGTTAGTGTCCGACCGAAACTGGTTTTTCAAATCAAATCAAAATCAACATAACAACCCCTCATTTATGGAAATACTTAAAATAGGTGAGATGTTTATTTGAGTAAGTATAGTATACTTCGCTTGGATAGAATTTAACGCGCCGAACATGACCGAACAGAGCGCGAGAACTCCCGAACGCAGTTTCGGTTTCGGTCGTAGTTTCGGCAGGTTTGCCGCCGAAACCGAAACTAAACCGAAACTCGTTTTTTGCCGAAACTCGACTGAAACCGAAACCAAAACCGAACTTTCGGTCGGACACTATTTATAGTCTTAATATTTAGATATATTAGACAAACACATTTTTTTATAGCATTAGTTTCGTTTCAAAAATGGAGCATGTACCCACCTAGACGAAAAAATATTTAAAATCTGAAAAAGTCTTATCTATCTATATGATCATAATTTAATATATTCTGTTGGCCTAAGTTACCTACGTTCATAATAATATATTAAAAGACACTAACACGGGAGTTCGTTCGTTCGATCAAGGAAGGGGTTGTGCGGGGGCGAGAGACACGCGATTGTTGCGTGTGAGCGGAAGTCAAATTAAATGACGGCTAATGTATGACGACGTCGATGTGCCTTTTTGGAAGTCAACGTCGTCGTCGATATATCGACGCGACGTCAGAAACGCCGGCACTAATAGCAGGAACAATGATAATGAGGGGTTGTTTGTTTCGGTCAAAGAAGGCTTTGAAAGTAAAAAAAACACGCGCGACACCTATCGACAGCTTGACTCGTACATTATTAATGGGCCGAAATCGATCAGCATTGTATTAAATGATGCGAAATGATTTGCGGTTTTACCAGAGTGGATTTTTAAGAATGTTCCAAATTAACAGCAATTAAAAACCATAAAACAACATTTAATATCATTTAATAGTTGAAAAAATAATTAGCTTTCTTTAACAGGAAAAATTCCTAGACTGCCTATAACAGGAACCGTGAATTAAATCGAAATTATTTATTTGTATTAACATCTAAACACACAAACGAACGCCGCAGGTGGCGATCAATACGGCAGCACCTTCGATAACCAACCTGACGAGAAACGTAAATTATATATAAACCACACACTTACAACCATAACACGAACCCATTCTTCTCCTGATTTTTTAATCGACGTAAAGTGAAGTTAAACTTTAACCCCTTTTCTGATAATCACTTCAGCATATTGAATAAATATTCAAAAGTATAGGTGCAATAATGAAGTTGATAAATACTTCAATCTTTCGTAGTACCGACTACTGCTACACTAAATTCTTGTAACAGAAATGAAAGCATGCAAATAAAAAGAAGTTTAAAATATTACCTGGTTATCCTGATTCCCTACGGCGAAATAACCAGTCACGCTGATGACTTCATTAAGAAGCTCTTGATGCATTTCTGCTGTTGGCCCGTTATTGCTTTTGGTTGGAGATTTTGGTATTGTCGGTGTGGCGCAACACCATATCAGTTGATTAGCAATATGCCGATATTGCAACGAAATCCCTTCGGCTCCAAGAACTTCCTGAAATGGAAAGTAAACTTAGGAACCTAGTCCAAAGTCAATAAAAACACTTTTGCCTTTACGTTATGGAAATTTATTGCAAATGCCAAAATTTGATTTCCAGTGCTTAATTTAAATAACATAAGAACACCTTCAGAAGACGTACCTACTTTAGGACAATAAAGATAATCTGTTTGACTAAATCACTTTTCGGAACATCGGCTAATCCTGGACAAAATATAAATAAGAACAAACAAGGTGTCAAGGAGAATTAATAAGAGAGTTTTTGGCAGAATAGGAAAAATTTGGAACCGAGTTAGTACCCATATGCTAATAAATTACGTTATTTATTTTGACATATGTAGGTCCCAATATATGTACATATATCCAAAATCGCTCCATTCCAAACAAAAAAAAATTGTTTAAACATAAAATACCAGATTCATTCACCAATCAACGTTTTGCTTGCAAAGATCTGTTGGTTTGTTTATTATGTTGTAGTCATCTATAATATCCTTTTCAGTTAGTGCCCTTGTTTGCCGATCGACCTCGAGCCATATTTACACTGTGGCCGTTCGTGTTTTAATTGAATCATATAGTTCGGCTTCAATGGGAGATAGGCCGGTCGGTAAAGACGGTGAGATCAGGTCCCGAGTTAATTTGCACTGGGACCTTTGGGACACAGTCGTGCGCTCCAGTTCCCACCAATCTATCGAATAAAGACCAACCGATATCTAAACGTTATATTTGGCGTGTGTCCGACGTACACCGTATCGTACTTGTCTGTTTGTTTGTCCATGTATTTGCCGTACATAGAGGCATTACGTATAGATATCGCAAACTGAAATCGAAAACGCGGCAGCGTCGGGAATAAGGTGTTCAGAGACCGTTCTTCGTTTTGCAGATCATAAAATTCCTGCATACAATTTTTAGAATGTTTGCAAATTTACAAGGCGGTATGGTATTTATTTGGTAGTAGACCCTTAGATGCATCGGTACAATGTTTAAATTGGTTTATAGAGGTAACGGTTGAAGAAGGATCCTTTACGATCCCAATTTAGTTTCAAGTTTAATATAGGGTGTTTTTTTATGAGCCTAACGGTTAAAAGTACCGTTTGTTGACTTCTTGATGTGCCGATCTTTTCTCAGATTATAAACTTCCCTCTTTCCAAAATTTTAAGTTGAAAGCCCGCCTTCTAAATTTGCACCGAATTGGTTTGAAAGGATTAATCACCAATTGTGAAACTAGCCACACCCTTGGTGTTTTCCTCCTAGTTTTAAGTTAGATATAAGATGTGACCAAGAACTTCAAAAGAAGCACTTGAACTAAGTCAGCACAAAAACGCAAGAGGCACTTGTGTAATCTTACTAATAATCGATGGAGATACTCTGTACATATTTGTAAATACATAATTAAGACGACTTCGGTGCAAGAGTTCTATTTTTTTCTACCTTCCACCAAAGAATTAAACAACACGCCTTATTAATTTAACGCGTGTGCTAATATTCCACTTACAATAGTAAGTTCCCGAATATCTGCCTGTGAAATTTAACATAAGGTGTAATTAGTAAATTCACTGATAAATTTAAACAGTCGATAATTGGACGTAAAATGTCCAGAATAGTAAAAATTAACAACAAAATTGAATTAATAATTAATTAGTATCAGTCCTGGTAGGACAAGTTTACCGCAACTGCACCAACGTTGCTTTGCTTTGATTAACGATCGGACGACGTTGATGTAGTGGACGAGTGAGAATCGGTTCACGGTGTATAGGGATCATCGACAATCCCACGGGAATAAACGCGTGCCTTGTATACGTACTCCTCTGGGAGCATAGCCAAAGTTTACAAGTTAGTTTGCCTCGGCTTTCTCAGCAGGTCATTTTCGAGCCCCCGTCTGACTAATTCGTAGAAAAAATTCTTAAACACACCACGCACTTACGACTAAATTATTGAATAGACGTTTTGAAAGCCAATTTTATTGGAACCATTGGAAAGTATTATTTTCTTTTAGAAGACTTCAAACCCATTTACCATAATTATACCTATATATAAATCTGCCTCAAAATATTTGAAAAAAAGCGTTCGGAAATTTGTTTCAAAAATTAAGAAAAAAATCCGCTCCTGTTAGTTTCAATAAAAGAAAATTCTTTTGGAAGTTTAAAATAAACAACAGTTTTCATATCCTACCTGAAACTTGTTGAGATCCAGCTCAGCAACCCTCCGAAGTAATCTGAACGTAGCTCTTGCAAGATTCAAGCAAGGCACTGGTACCACAGGAGGAGATTGTCCTTCAATCCTTGGAACAGTGTCTGGTGGCAGCAATGAGCCATACAGCATTGACACTGCACCCATCAGTTCGGTACCATGAAGGGTTGCAACCTGAAACGAACAAAAATAATAAAAATGTTGTTCTATGTCATATACCCGGAATGTTTCTATTACCAAATGCGTTGCATCAGAATCCTCCGGGCAATGATCAGCCAGGGCGGCCAAGAATTCAAGAGCAGCCAAAAGGAAGGAACAGGCTGGAGGAATGTCGTGAACAGGGCTTCGAACCGCCAAGCAACACTTTGTAAGCTGTTCGACTATTCCGACACAAACAGCAAAACTGCAAAAAATATTATTGTTTTTTTAAACTATTTTTGCTAAGAAGTAGCGTGAAAGTTTTGGTAATATTATATGCATACATGTATTCGCCTTAACACTTTTCGTTTGGCTTAGCATTAGGCCAAAATTGGTAGCACTTTTTTGGTAGAGTGGAAAAAAATAATTGCTAGGTATATTTGATTTCAATGGATGAAATGAAATTTTTATTAAATTCTTGATGACTGTACACTGTAAATTGAGCAAGATGCAGAACTCACAATTATTTCGACTTCACAACTTTTTTCTAACAAAAATATTTTTTTAGCAATTTTCATTACGTGATTCTTGTTGAGAAAGATCATTTTACATATATATATATCCCATTCATCATCATAAGGTCATCAGTCCTAAGACTGGTTGGACACGCACCTCCGCTCTTTCCTATTCCGAGCTAATCTTCGCATTTCCTTAAAACTAGAACATCCCACATGCTTAACTATTTGTGAACAGTAATCTAATCTAGATCTACATCTACTCCTTCTAACTCCTGTTTCTGCCTCTAATATGTCTCTGACTAAACCTTTATGCCTGATAAGGTGTCCTACCAACATATCTCGTCTATTTCTTATTGAATTCCATAGAGTCCTCAGTTCTCCTATTCTTTCTAATACCTCTTCATTTCCAACCTTCTCTATCCACACATATCCCATTACAGATGACGAAAAAAATGAAAAAAGTCTTATTCTCCTTGTCACAAGCATTATCTGACTCTGCGTCGAGATAATCAAAAAAATTACTGACCATCTTTCTTCTACTAAAAGTACTTTCGCGTGTAAGTAAGAACTATCTAATAACTCAGCATTAGACTCAGACATCGTGGGTCACATTTGCTTTCTCATTTTTTTCGGGATTTTCCCAGAGAAAAATCCACGGCTTTGGTCGCGTAATATCAACTTGCCCTTATAATTTTCTGGTGCAAGTATAAATTCTCATTACACCTCGGGACCACATGTGCTCGTTAATTGTGTTACTAAAATATACTGAGTGCTTATTTGACGACTTACTTAACACAAGTATAAGAATAACGTTTTCAGAATCACACATTTAATAAAAATAAGATACATTATGACACAACATATAGATTAATGAATTGATCGGATTCCGAAGTGCTGCATGCCATCATCATCGTCAACATCGTCTTAAGGCTGGTTGGGCACGCACCTCCACTTTACTGCATGTACGGTGTAACAATATAAATAGTAGGGATTTTTGACTTTGGGTATTAAATAGATCTAACCATGTTTGATATGAACAAATTTTATCATATGGTAATGGGTTACGTTCGATATCTTTCTGCAACTCTGTCATTTCCATTAAATTGCATTTAGCTTGATGTCGAAATGGAAAAGACACTCCGTAGGTACATGTCCAATGAACATGTGTACTAAGGTGTAATTTCGCTGTCGAGAGCACTTTCACGGATGAGACATGACCACGATGGTGTCGCGACGGTCCCCATGACGTAATTGTGATGTACGGTTTACCGCACGCGTCGTTTTCTCTCTCTTAATAAATCGGATTCATAACGACGCTCGGCGTCGTTCTTTTACATCGCCGTGCACATTAGTAGATTGGACGACGCGACGACCACGGGCTTGTCTTGGTTAGCAAGAGCATGCATGCAGTAGAGAATTGGTCGACACCAACAACGTAGCTGTTCTAGTGTTATCTTGTTGGACGGGAACACTTCGTGGGAAACTTAGTTCAGGAATTCATTTTTCTGGAAAACTGCGAAGGCGTGAATAATGGGCTGGTCTAGATTACGCTTTCGGAAGGGATGGATGGTATACGGAACCTCTAATGGGTTCCAGACGAAAGGCCGCAATATAAAGATGTTTGAAAAGCTTTTAGAGAAAACTGCACGCAATCAAGGACAAGCATCCATTTATTTTTTTAAACACTTGTTTTGAATGTGAATATTAAAATTGTGGATTTAAAAAACTACGATTTCGGAATAAGTATTATGGTCAACATCAATTCCCAAGTTCTAAGTAACGAACTGAAGAATATAATCGATTTTGTGGGGGCCAAATTTATAATCTGTTCGAGAACAATACTTAGTCCTTGATGACTGAGGTTTATTTAATATTCTTAGGGAAATTGTAGTGGTTAATAAAATTGTCATGTTGATTATTAAAGATGTACAGCTCTGAATGATGTTAGTAAGAGAAATAAGATGGTAACAGACCTTCTGAGACGTGATGAGCTGGAGACATCTAAAAAGTCGAAACAGAACGTAGATTACATCACTATTCACGAACAGGGATGTTGAATGTTCTAGTTTTATAGAAACGCAAAAATTGATTCGTCAGGATAGGAATGAGTGGATACGCGTGTGCAATCAGTACTTGGAGGTGAAGACACTACGACGATGATATTGTAATTAAACATACATATAATTTAGACATCTTTTAGAAGTGAGTTAGTTTAATATGAAAAATATTATTCTGAAAATTCATTTCTGAATTTTCAACCCACTACAAACTACCTCAAATTAATGAGGGAAAAATTGTTAAAAATTAAAAAAAATTGATGATATTGTACTTTGACATCCACACTCATAATGCAAAATACAGAATAAAAAAATGACTATGTAACATTGTTTGATTCTATACTACTATTCGAATAAATAATTTTTGAAAAGCAAAAAATGCTTTTGTTATTGTAAAGTAATTCGTTAGTTCATTCAACTCTTTAGCAGAATTTCAATGCGCCTCAGTTCAATGAGTGAGTGAATGCTTTTTTGAGGAACAAATTCCTTTGAGGACTAAACGGTAAAAAGAAAACTTTTTCAGTGCACAATGTGACAAAATGCTTTGGTAGCAAAACCGAATGTTCCGCTGCCGCTAGGCCGTGCCTTGCCTTGCCGTTTCGAGGGGGTAAAATCGGCGACCCAATCTACTAATGGATTTGCAAGACGCTACTACTACTCCACGTCGATGAAGTTTCGAACAGCACCACAAAGAGCGACTGACGTGAGTGTAGGTGTGCCTCCATTATACACAATACACGTGCATACGCGTTACATGTATGTATGTACGTATTTAGTTCTTTTCTATCAGGAAAACGCAGAAAAGATTCAAAGGCAGCCATCATCGATAGAAAAAAGAAACGTCGATCCAGGTGCAATAGAAAATGTTGTCGCTGATGTTAATATTTTTTCTAATTATCTTTGAATTTTGCCCATATTTTTCGTAAAATATTAAAAGTGTAAACTTAATGGGAAATTGGGTCACTTCAATGATTTCAGAATGTGAAGTCTCTAATTAAAATCTGCCTAATTATTGAATATATATTAATTATATACAGTGTAAACTCTATATAACGACACTTAAGGGACTGAACATTTTTCGGCGTTATAAGAAGTGGTCGTTAAATGGAGAGAAATAAAAGATATTATTTTACTATTCTATAACAATATGCATTTACCAATATAGTACACATTTTTCACACGAACATTATTATTCATACATTGCGTATAGCCTGTTATCTTCGTCTGATGTTTCTTGCTGCTCCAATATTTTAATTGTATTTTGTTACGTATCTTACTCATATCTTGAGATACTGCTGGATCAATTTGATTATATAAAAAGTATTTTTTTAATAGTTTCGCTGCATCAAGTGCTTGTTTGATGCTTGATGGAGGGACAGGATCGTCTTCTTCAACAACGTACACAGCTGCAGTTCTTATCTATTTCGGCAACTTAGAAAGTACTGCTCAATGATTTATAATGTCGCATTGTTGTCGTTAAATAGAGTGAGCGTTACGCTATATAGAGTGTAATATTGTATAGAAAACAATGTAAACTAACCAAAGTCAAGCAATTTCGACGTTTTAAGGAGTTTGTCGCTAAATCGAGTGACGTTATAAAGAGTTTACACTTTATATAAAACAATAACTGGTAAAAATTGGTACTCCGAATTTCTCTTTTACTACGGTGACAAAAATTTCTAATGGGGGTAAAATTCTTAGAATCTTTGCCGTTAAGAATACGTACACATTCAAGGCTGAGGGTTCAAATGGTCATAAAATCGGGTAAAAAATGTTATTTTGTCTGACTTAAAGAACGTATTACTGTTTTCCTCAAAAATGAAACAGGAAAAACTCGGAATATTTGAAAATAAATATGATGTTCAATTTTGCTTATCACTACGTTCTACTAAAATAGAAAAAAATGAAACGCCCCGTATAACACCGTCCTGTGAAATGACATTGGTTGAAGTGCCAGCATTGTGATAAGTGGCTGTCGTCCTGCTAGGACGTCTGTAGTGGCTCTCTACGATGACAACAAAACAGCAACAGCATCAACAGGAGCCAGAAGAGTGCTCCGCCTGCTCCTGCTACGAAGTCGTCCTTGTCGTTGACGCTACTGCGATAGTTATCATGACTGGGGGCGGGGGTGCGATAATCAGCCGTGCACATGACACATCTGATGTGATTATTGCGGCATGTGTGCCTAGTCCCATCGATACTATGCCGCCGGCCTTTTGTTCAACCGAAAGCGCCACATATGAGACGTAAAACAGTAATCGTTTCCATGTGTATCTATATCTACAGGGTAAAATATTCACGGGTACGGAGCCCAATTCAAGTGAAATTGACCTAACTAACGAAAATATGTTCTTTTCTGAAAATTCCTCATTTTAAATGGAACTGTTCCTTACAAAGCTTACCACAACTTTATAATAATCATAGATCATAACGTGGATTTCGAATCTGACTTTACAATTGCTGGAGCACGTCTGAATTTTGAAATATTCTAAATTCCTAAGAATTTTGTCTTTTTATTTCATCTAGTAGGTACCTAATCTTCCCAAAAAGACTAATGACCAGAGTTTGGTGTTATAGAAACTCGTTAAATGACGACTTTCAGTACATATAGAGTAGTAAAAAACACAAAAGTTTATTAAGAAATTTATTCATATTATTACTTAAATTTGCGTTCAAAATATATATTACAC